ATCGGAATTAGAATCAAAGTGTCATCATTACCTGCCAGTTGTCCTCTGGATTTGCTCCTCGCTGAACTTTAATGATATAATCCTTGAAAATAAATATATATTACAAAAATCGAGCTAGTTGACAGAGAAATTCGAGAGGTTACCGATGGGTTTATAGAATTGTGTACTCACAACATATTCTTTTTTATCGATTCCTTCAAAAATGCACATCAAAGGTATAGTGTCGTCTACTACAGTATTTCTTTTGCTTCTTCGAGCCATTTCCGTGCATACAAGAGAAAAATGGCCCAATATCGGGCCAAAACTTTGCGAAAATCTTCACAAGTTACTCCTGCTGTAACGGCTCAAGCACTTCCAGCGGTATCTACCTATTAATATATGCACGTGATGTTATGTTACATAATTTTTGGCGGGAGAAGCAATCGATCACAAGTTGGTCGTCTTCATCAAATTKACTCTAAAATTTCCCTTTTCTTCGTTGCTATTTTGAATTTAAGATGCCTAAAGCTTCAAAGAAGAGTGCAAGAAGATCTTTAGATTCGGATGAGGTTAGTAAAACCGCGAAAGGATTGTCTGAGTTCAGAGGATGATCAGCTGTTGTGACTTCATCGTTTGTTGTGATTTTTCCAGGAGGATGCCCCTTCACAATCACAGTCACAACGCAAAGGAAAAGGACCTACAAAGAAAAGGTTTGTCTTCTGCTTCTGTACTAGAATGATGTAAACTGCACTGGCTCAAATTTCATGCGTACAGTACGTCACCTCCATCCTGCATGTACAGTAGGACTACTGTACCATTGATAAGTGTATCATAATCACATGGTTGCCATCATTGCAGTACAGTTTCATTTAAAAGCGCAGAGCTACCATTTTATTAAGCCATTTTTTTCCATTTTCAATTGAATCAGAGCCAAAGATAACGACGATTCATCACAAGCTTCTCCAAAAACACAAGATAAGCTGTCTGGTGATGAACTAGAGAGAAAGGTTTGATCTCATCCTCTAATTTGAATACTGCTGCATGACTGTAATAAAGGGATTGGGCTTAACTGCAGAATACCCCGCCACTCATACAGTACCGCCTGAAGTCACATGTACCTTCGTTCGCGAACAGATCGTGAGTGGTTCGCGATCACTGTTCGCACTTTGGTTGCGAACTGTTCGCAAAGTTGCTCGCGACTTGTTCTCACTTCGCTCGCACTTGGTTCGCAGTTAGCTCGCGACACCAGATGTTTGCGAACATAGATATGAACTGCACTCAAAACTAATGATTTGGGCATAATAATACTGAAGAGTATGTATACATGTACGACTGTAGGTCATAAGTTACATAAACTCAAGAGTTGCTTGCCACTATTGTAGTAGCTATGGCAACACAGTGGACATGGTAAATAAGATACAGCGATACCAGAATATAATATAAACGCACAGGGATACAAAACATTATGTACCTAGATACGCGGTGCTACGGCTATCACAGCAAATCCAAGACACAGGAGGAAAAATACTTGACTTTTGAATGTGTATGATGTACATGTAGCTGCGTGGCCAATTCACAAACATATAATTCATTCTATGTACATTTATATATCAAGACACAGGGAGATTGATACTGTGTAGCCACTACTGCATCTTTGATATTTTCTCAGTATGGCAGAGTACAGTATTCTGTAATTGCTTCAGTTCAGTGTATATGTATCAAGTAGTTTATTTACTGAAATTGTTGACATGCAGTCTATAGAGAACAGTCCTACTGCACATGTATGTTGAGGGCTGTTAAATGTTGTATTTTTACAATACTGTATTCTGACCAGGAATACCTTTGTTATATATAGGAAAACCACAATGCAAGCAGCTTTCAGTATTATTTTAAAGCAATGCTTGCTGTTTGTTTTGTTAAGGTTTCTGAGACAGTACGATATTTGTTGTTCAGTGACAGAAGGAAGGTTCCTATCAAAAGGGCTGGTGAGTACATTAGGAATTTTATATGCAAATGGGAGTAGGTGCATGTCAAAATCTGTTATACCGTATTTACTCATTTACATTCAAGGCTTTAAAAAGGCACTGTATTCATCTCTCGTACTACATGTAGATATATCAAAGAATGTATTGAAGGAATACCCAAGATCATTCCCACAGGTTATGGACCTTGCTAAGAAAAAAATGCAAAAGGTTTGTTTGGGATCTTATGTGTGACAGTGGGGATGTGCAATGTATGGAGTTGTGGTGGTGAGAGTAAAATAAAATGATGAATTTGCGGGGAGAGAACACAAATATCGAAACACGAGCGAAACACATGTTTTAATGAAACGGCAAGATTAGCTGGTCATGCAGACACACACATAACAAAACAGAAAACTAACATTAATCAATCTTGTTGAGGAATTTCCTCAACAGGGATTACTCTGAAGTTCTGAATAATCATATGTATGCTTGTTTATTTTAGCAAAATATTCCACTCTATACGGCTTCATTGGAGACTGTACAATTATTAATTTTCACTTTTTTTTTCTCTGTTCTTACCTTAGTTATTAACAATATCTGAAAAAAAATTCTGGAAAAGTCTCCCTATTAACAATATCTGAAAAAAAATTCTGGAAAAGTCTCCCTAAAGATGAATATTTTGTCTCCAAAATGAAAACAAAAACAGGAGCGAGCAGCAAAGTAAGACTGCAAATCTGGTCATCAGTGGACTTGATCACAAGGGAGACTTTGCTAATTTGGATTTTTCCAATCTATACTATTGCATTATTATGCTTTTTCAGAACTTCAGAGTATGACACAGGGGGGTTCGTATAACATTGGAGTGGGTATGATATGGGRGCACTGGGATGTTTGACTTTGGGATGRGGGWGTATATCATTGGGGTTTGGTGTACATGTGCATTTTATACAACATGTAGAGCATGTGCATGGAGTATTTTACTTGAAACTGTTATGTTCTTCAGGTATTTGGTATTACAGTAGAAGAAATTGAGCTCACAGGAAAGGCAAAGGCTTATATCTTGGTTGATGGCTTGGAGTGTGAGAAAAAGAATGATTTACTTGAATGGTAGGCTTGAGACAATTTGATTGAATGATTTGACTTCCATTTCTAAAGACACAACACTAAGATGAGGGAATATATTGCCATTCAGCTAATTTATTTCATGAATTTGATATAGAATCAGTAATCATTTTCTCAGACATCATAGGTACTTAAGCTACTGATGGAAACTAGTGGTAAACTAGTACACTAAATGAGCTGCATCTGCATTTTTAAAGAAACAGTTGTGAAATGGCTTGTTCCAAAAAATATTTATACCGCCACGACAGTCAGCATTTTTGAAATAGCTTACTAAAACAATTTCACCTACTTTGTATTGTGTCAAAATTTATCTTATTTCACAACTTCTAAAAGCTACTACAAATATAATATGATTATTTTAACACCAGGGGAGATGAATCACACAGGATGGGACTGCTAATGGTGATATTAAGTCTTATATTCATGTCAGAGAATGTGATATCAGAAGGTACATGTACATTTTTTGAACAAGCTGAATTACAGTAAGCTAGTGCAGTTGTGATGGGTGCAGTAATGCATGGTTCTTGCACAGTCAAATGAATACTAAACATCACTAGTGCAATAATTGTGCATTACAGATAAGGCTCGAGGGAATATTGTAATGAGCACTCATGTAATTGTCAAATTGAAATTACAAAAATCTATGTACTGTAAGTTTTGGAAATAATTTGGGCAGACATGGTTTAATATGATTCGTGGCTAAATGTACTTATTTGATTGATTGATATATATAATGGTTGGGCTGTCTGTAGTTTTGTTATTCACTACTTTTTATATCAATTATCCATCAATGATTTCTTACTTCTTCTCAGCTCAACTTTGGCACACATTAAAGAAATTAGGCTTACAACAAAAGTATGTATGATTATGTGATGATTTGCAATGATTTCTACCTGCTGGTACTATCTATCAATTTTGTCATTTTTTCCAAGTCTCCCATGAAAGGTCATTTTCAAAACCATTGCATTGAAGAAAGAAGCTGTCAACCCTGCTTAGTGGCTCTACAGTGTGGGGGAGGTGGTGGGCAAATTGTTTTTTTTTCAGCCTCCTCTCCAAGACTCTTGTCTTCCCTCCCTCTCCCCTAAAGCTGCTACACAGGCTAGAAACTGTCAGGACTTCCAGGATCCTTTCTTCACCTTGTAAAGCTAAAACAGGCTTTCAATTGAAATCATCAGGCAGGGTCATAAAAAAATATCCTTGAAAATCGAATTGTTGTGCTTAAAAACATACTTGAAAAGATCATAAACTCTCTAAATACTTGAAAAGATCAGATATTTTGTGACAAAAATGTAGCACAAACCCAGTCTTGTAATGGGAAAGCTCGCAATCATACATGTTGCTGAATGTACAAACAAAACAAGATAGATGTATGTACAACTGTCCAAAAGAAAGAATCAATCTATGCTCACTATGTATTGTTGCAGAGGAAAATTCAATTTCATAATGTCAAAATGGTACTGGAGTCCATATGCATAGTTTATAGAGTTAGTCTCTCTCTACTAACTATGATATATGGTATTAGCTAACAAGCGAATAGCGGCCCCCTAAGGAATACCAATTTACAGATGATATTAGCAATGCAAAATACTTTAAATGGCACAAAAATTCGTTATATGGAACCATAATTCCTCGTTTTTAAGTGCTAAAAAGCTCGAAAAGTCGTCGATAAAAAATGTAGAAAAATATACAAGTCAAAAACGTATGGACCCCTATTCACTTGTTAGGTGCTTCTACAATGTATAGGGAATAGGGAATACAAACTAGCCTCTGGTACTACTTGGGAAGCAATTTACTCTGTATGGTGAACGATGAAAGGTTGATTCATTTATGTCAAACATTAATGTATGATATTTACTTGTAGATCAGAACATCCAGTATTCGGCGATCCAGAGAAACTCTTATCTCAAGAATTCGTCAGACAGGGGTATGTTTTCTATGCATCCTACAGTACTGTAGTACTTTTCCTCTCCTTCCCTGTTCAAATCTGCAACTAAGCTATGTAAAAGGCTCACGTGCATCCAATAACGTTTTTGCAAATTTCTCACATTCAAAAAAAATTGCCATCTTGATTCTGTAACAATCTGAAAGAACCATTCAACAAGAGATCATTTGAAAAACTGTAGAAACACTGTTTTAGCCTTTCTCTCTGCCCAAGGACATTCTTATTTTTTTAATTCTTATTTTTCCTATTTGTTTATTTATTTTATTTTATTTTTGTTGTTGTCTAGAATGAATCATTTTAAAGTTATTACATGTGCCAAGTCTTCGGTCAACTGACATGTTTTTCGTGCTGTTGTAGTTATCTTGAGAAAAAGAAAATAGTCGGAGATGAAACATCGTTTGAGTACAGATGGGGAGCCAGAGCTTTCAAAGAAACATCCAAGATGCAAGTGTTGGAGTTTGTAGCAAAAGTAAGTAATTATACATTTGTGTTTTTATTATTTGAGAGATCTCTTTTCACCCATAGTTGTTGTATTGTGCTTTGGTTAAGCCGTGGCCAACTGAGTATAGTGGAAAAGTGGTTAATTTTAATTAAACTTAATTTTAATTTTAAAACTTGTTGGCTGCATAACTAATCTTTGTCAAAGAATTAAAAAAGTGGTTATTTGCCTTTAATGCGAATGTTTACTGAAATATATGGAGGTTTCGTTTGTGGGAACAAAATAAAAAGGTCGTTATACTAATAACTGAGTGGTTGTATTAAGCATGTCACCGTTAGGTGGAGTTCAGCTACAATGTATTAAAAGACAGGAATACGGTTATTTATTAATCTGAAGGCCGGAAATTAATTTTTCCGAATTCATTTCCAAAGGTTTTTTTCCCGGAATAACCTCCTTCCTAGCCCTATAACATTCCTTCATTTCTGTATCATGTATATCTCATAGTACCATGCGGTCCTCATATTCATATCTTTACATTCTAATTACCGCAAGCTGACATCTATTTCATGCCGATCTGCTCCCAGTCTAACCTTGTAACTCACCTGATAGAGCATTGGTAGTAAAAATCCGAGGGTCGTGGGTTCGAATCCCGAATTTTTTCCCAAGGTTTTTTCTCCTGGAATAGCCTTCTTCTAAGCACTATAACTTTCCTTTATTTCTATAAGAACATTATTTACATTGTGCAGTATCAATCCCAATAAATTGTAATATTGCACGTAAAATGGAAGCATTGAATGATAGCCACCATATCTCACAAATTATTTTTTCCGATTCTTTTACTTAATTGAGGCTCTGCATTTTGTGGCAGAAATATTAGTAATGACTTTTTTTGATATTTTTTTACAGATTTATGGTACTGAAACATCAGTCTGGACAGCACAAATGAGGGAGATTCAACAAGAGCAAGAAGAAGCTACTCAAGATGAATGAAGTTTTATTATTTTGAACGATATTTTTATTGTTGCTGTTGTTGTGCTTCGCGTTGATTGTACATGTACATGTATAGGATAGTTCTGTTACTTATACTGCATGTTACGTTTTTCCTCATGTACAGTGCAATCATTTACGTTCTTAGCGTGACTGGTGCGTTTCTGGGTGCTGGATCAGTTGTGGAATCCTAAAGACTTGTTCACACTTACGGCGTTTTTCAAAGGAATAGTATATTTTGTCTTATCATTGTGAAGAGACGTTTAGTTGGCTTATCTAGGTGTGCTGCATAACTTTTACAAGTTAATTCATTTACGATATTCTCTAGAATCAAAATGTCCGCAAGATTCGCCATTGTGAACCGGATTTTGTCTTTGTAAGTTTGCAGTATTCAGATGCTTAGAGTAGAGTGAGGTCATTAAACCCGTGAAACTAATTTTAACTATTGAGTGTGAGAGTCAAATTAGACCCAAAAGAAAACAATGTAATTCGAGCGTACTAAGGTGTATTAGTGTAATATCTATTTCACGGGTTTTATGACGTCGCTCTAAACGCAGTGGTACCGTAAAATATCATCAAAGTAAATGATTATTAGTCTGTATTTACTGACTAATAGTACACAGTCAAAGAATCAACAGTATATAAAACTAAAGGTAATACACTCTGTCCTGTCCTGGTTCATTGACGTAGACTAATAGATACTACTTTTGATGTTGTTTGACGGTCCAAGTTCGTTTATTCTCTATTTAGTACATGTGGCTGTATGAAATTAAAATAACAATCATTGTTATTATAATAGGAAAGTTTCTTTAGGAAAATTTTCATTCGCAGTTCTTTCGCCATCTTGAAAGGTAACCATTGCATCAAGATGAGATGGCCGGTAAGATGGCAATAATAGATAGCTGTAAATTATTGTCTGTAGACAAGAAAGAAGGTTTCTATATCATTGCACCGGTCGTTTTCCGAATCATTTTTTTCTAATTTTTAACTTAAATGTGGTAATAATATTACACACGGTATTTCGTTATATGTCCCTCGCTGTGTTTCGTTATATGTCCCTCGGGGTACTCCTTGAGTTTTGAACATTTTATGACGTCAATAATGTGTCAATAAAAGGACATACAACGAAAAACTGTGTGCAGTTTGCTAACAATTCTCGTAGGCGAGTTTTCATTGGCAACTCTGACGTGTACTTGATGGGTGTAGCGTCCATACAGCAAACAGCTCTATTCTCATGGACGAGTGTTCTTTAGCAATTCTGATGTGTGTTTGATGGGTCTAGCATCCATACAACTCTATTCTCATGGAGTGTTCTTTAGCAATTCTGATGTGTGTTTGATGGGTCTAATATCCATACAACTCTATTCTCATGGAGGAAGGATGTCTATAGAAGTCCTTGACAATAACTCTGATGTGCTGTGCTGTAATCGGTAGCGGCAAATGGTTGGTTACAACAGAATTTGCATCGGTGTTGCCTTGGAATATCTATCGAGATATTAATCTTTAGCTGTGTGAATTTTCTGTCAGTTGGAAATTGTGGATGGTAGATTCAGGAAGACTTTATTAGGGTTAATACTGAGTAAGGGGGACTACGACAGATTGAGCCGGGATCGTTTTAGGGAATAATACAGGTGAAGACTACTCATGAGCCATTCGAAACAACTGAACAACCTTGTGGAGCAATTTTTAAATTAAAAATTAAATTTTTAAATTAAAAATTAAAAGAAGAAACGTGAAAAAAGCTAGAGTGATGGTAAGTGACTGGTAATAGATTTAAAAAAGTCAACATCTTTACGAGTACTTTCGTCGGAACGGCACGTTGGGGATTGTCATACCTCAAATCCGCACTTAAAACTAGTCTATTGAAACCACAAACCGCGTTGCAAAATCTGGCAAATCCTCGATAGAGCGATATCTTCAGAACCGTATACCGACGAAGTAATGAGAGTAATACCGTAAAACCGACCACTAAAACCAGCAGACGTCAAAACACCGACCTATAATAGTCACCCTTTCATGCCAGGAGCTTGAAGAGAAACGAAGAGCGACGAAGAGAAACGTGTCAAACGTATCCGGAAGCACCAATCCGCAGTACTTCTGAGAATTAATGAATTAAAGCATCATAGCGTCGGTCGTGGGCTTCCTTTTCCACTCGAAGGATGTTTTACGAGTTTAGAATATTGAAAATTCCTGGAAATGTATCGATGAATTTCTTTGTTTCCGGAAGAAATCCAAAAAATATGACATCTAGCTCCAGCTAAACGAGAGGAAACATCGTATTATTTAATTAGTGGAGTTACAGCAATACTAATCTATTCTTGGTGTGCAACCACGTGACCAAGAATCCCCTGAGAAATAACGAATAAAGCTATCGCCGCCATGTTGGATGAATGAACAAGAGAAACTAATGAGGAATGCTTTGTGATCTTCATCCAAAATGGCGGCGATGACGTAACTTGCACGCCAAGAATAAGTCTTTTGATAAGACGATACAATCTTGTACCCAGAGCCCGCAATTTTGCCATCCAGTGGTCGTCAATGGACCTCCCTGGATACCTCCGACAAATCTGTGCGTCGTGCGCGTCAAACCGAGGTCAAATAAACTGTCTTTTATTTTGAGAGGGTAGCACGTAATAGTCTCTAGACTAATAAACTTGTGGCCCTCTATATATTCACTCATACTCACTACCTCAACATTCATTATTTTACTACACGACACTCCTCACAGCTAGTTTTTGACTGAGGGAGGAAAACCAGCGGACCTGGAGAAAAACCCTCGGAGCAAGGAAGAGAACCAGCCTACAAACTCAAATCACATATAGTCCCGGACCGGGAATCGAACCAGGACCACAGCGGTGATAGACCGGCGCTTTAACCGCTCGGCCATCCTTGCTCCCCATGGTCAGGGTAAATTAGAATGTAAACATACTCGATAAGGTACTCAAGATAAAAATAAAGTTTTATTTTCAATGAGTCATTTGCTATACTATCGAAAATGTTTTCTTGACTTGATGTTTGATCTTGAATAGCAGTTCACAGGATAAAAATCGTCAAACTTACGAGCGAAAACATTGCATCTTTTCAACCCGAAGCAGTTCAGAACAACTCATAAAAATAGTAATTGAGCTAAGTTTCCTGTATTGCTTACAACTGTCTTCCTCAAAAACTACTACTGCATCTATAATGATTATTGTTGCATCCGTAGCATTCTTGACAACGTTTTCCAACTTTTTCATATCTCTATTTCGACGGCAATTTGTAATATTTTTCCCGCTCGTAATGTAGTTTTTCGTGAAATTATATACGATTAACAAAGAAAATTCTTGCTTCTTCAAAAACAAACACACACACTTTATTATCACTTTGATCAATATAATTTCAATGTTTCCACTGGTCTGCAATTAGTTAAGACACTATTCAATGGCAGGCCACTGTATTGCAAATGTAAGTAAGAATAAAAGAACAAAATATTACAACTATAAATAGAAGAAAAAAAAGAAAAGAATATCATATAAATATAATCTTATTGGTAGATGAAGAATATGTATGAAAAAACAAGTTAAATATAACAGCTAGATGACGATATTGAAAATGAAGAAAAAGAAAGAAAATGGAAAGTAAGGAGAACGAATAAACAAGAAAGTAAAAGTAAAGATGATTAAATTTTGATTTTGAGTAACCTTCTAAATTCAAATTTAAATTGTCTTGAAATAATCCGGAAGTAACTGTATTGCCCTTTCGACTTCAAAATAACATTCCTCATTCTGAAGAAATGAGAAAAACTCACTTCTCATCTTTTTTTTTGAATATGAATTTAGAGCATTCCGTAACTGAATTTGGTATTGAATTCCATAGTCTTGCGCCAATTCTAGAGAAAGAATTTATTTGTTTGTTTAGCCTTGATGACTGTATGTACAATTTGTTAGCTGATACAGAGCGTATATTATAAGAATGAACTTCTTTAGTGAATTTGAATAGCTTGAGTAGGTTATTCGGACAGTTATCATTGACAATATCATAAACAAGATTAGCAAAACAGATTGGAAATACATAATATTTAGTGGAGGAATGTTAGATTTTAGAGAGGAATATATAGCACTTTCTCTATACGATTAGCAAAGAAGATAAATCTGAGATATTTTACTTTTTCTTTGTTTTCTAAGTTCACATACTGACCCAGTCTCATTATCAAATATTCTGGTATTAATTGGAGTATAAAGTCTTTCCTGTCTTTTCTGATAGGGTCGAAAAATTACAAAATTTGATTTTTTTTATATCCAAGGTTAATTTATTTGCGGCTAGCCAATCATACAGTTTGATTGTCTCGGTGTTAACTGTAGATTCAAGCACTTTTGGGTTTTTGTTACCATACAGTAAATTTGTGTCGTCAGCAAATAGAAAGAATTTTAATTTATCAGAAGCTTTTTTTATGTGATTAATGAATAATAAGAAAAGTAAAGGTCCTAAGACAGAGCCCTGAGGAACTCCATATGTGTTAGGATCTTTTGTACTGGAATGACCATTAATCTCAGTTGTCTGGGTTCTGTCTTGTAGATATGATTTAAACCAATTGTTAATCATTCCTCCTCTTACTCCATAAAAATCAAGTTTTCTAATATAAGATCGTATGGTCAACAGTATCAAATGCTTTCTTGAGATCGATGAATATAGCGCATGAAAAAAGTTTACTATCCACATTATTTTGTATTGTAGAGATTATATCAAGAATTGCATGGCTTGTCATGGCTTCTTGCAAAAAACAATCTTCGTTGCATCAGCATTCGCCTTTTCCATAGTAAATATAGCAAAAAATGAAAAGTAAACTCACAATGCTCGTTTACCCCGGCCTCGGTTTGACGCGTGCGGCGCGCAGATTTGTGGGTGAGCATACCGCTGACATTAGCCGTGACGACTCTAGGCTCGAGATTGACGACAATCTCGTACCAAGAGCCCGCATTATTGCCATCCAGCGGAAGTCAATGCGTGAGAGACTCTGGAGGAGTCCATTTTTTCTCGATTCGTGCGTACGTGATTGGTTGAAAATGACGCGAGCGCGCATTGTTTTCAAGTCGGTTTTTTAAGTCGCCAGCGCCCGCCGCTCGCCTCATTAGTCAAGAAAATCATCCTTTTTTCGCATAACCACACATGTTTTCACACATTTTTGTTTTTAAAAAGGTGTAAATATCGTTTCTAAACTAAGTTGTTTGCGGAACCTTCCTCATTTTTGTCATTTTAATACTCTTAAAGCAGAAAACAAAATTGACCTCATTTGCGACGGAAAAGCGTCGCAAATCCAGTCGATTCCTCCAGAGTCTTTCCGGCGTCAGCATACCGCTGACATTAGCCGTAAATGCTCTGGGCTCGGGATTGGATTGACGACGACATGAATTCAGTATCAGTGGTTTGATGGCTCTTTCGATATATCAAATTAACTATAACTATAAATATTCATTAAAAAAACGCATTTTATGAACTACAGGTTATTTTTCGAAACGCTTTTCTTTTCTAAAAATTGTTGAATTAAGTTATACCGCTTTATTCACTAGTGTCCAGTCTCTTCGCTTTAAATATGAAAAATGATGATGCGCACGAACGATGCGCGGTAGCAGCGATGATACTCAGTGTAGAATTTCCTCAATCCAACATCATCAATTTCCCCTTCGCTTTTCAACGGCTAAATCTTTTGCAATTCTTATGTGGTAAGTGACTTGTTTTTGTATGGCGAGGCAATCTCGTACCCAGAGCACAGGGAGCCCAAGCAGTGACTTTGAACCTATAATAGTTAAAAATAAAATTTTACTCAAAAAAATGGTCTACTTTTATTTTATTCAGTGTCACAATGCATTATAAATGGGTTTAAAAAAATATCCCCTCCGTGTATATATATAGTGACAAGGGAGGAGACTCCGCTCGAAATTCTCCCAAAAATGAGCCAAAAACGATCGACAAAAATCCTTTTTTCGCACCGAAATTAAATAAAAACGAAGTTTTATCTGAGACAGCATATGTAAATCAACGTTTTTTACCTTATTTTGGACGAGAGGCATCGATAGAAACGCTTTTCGGGCAAAAAAATCCAAAAAAGTGTCCCCAAAAATATCCCAAACCCATCCGTGTCGATGGTTGTCTGAGGCCACTTGCGCGCGCAAAACTGAAAACTTGACAAATTTGGAGACTATGGGGGGGCCACTTGGGACAGTTTCACCTGTCACGGAGCACATCGCAACTCTCATATATTTGGTAAAAATGGTACGTTTTTCTATTTGTTAGCTTTAGTTTGATATAAATTTGAACAGTGGAGTAACATCTCTAAGTTATCGAAACTCGAAATCTTACAATTTGTCGCCGTTTTCGCATAGTTCAAACTCGACTATCTCACCTGACTCTTTACCTCAAGTTTTTTGACGAAAATAGTAAACTAGGTAATAGTTTTTTTTCGTAAAGTTAACACTCAACGATCTCAATAGACCTGATGACATTTAATATCAAGTTTTTTTGACAAAAATAGCATAGTTAAATAACCTATGAAATAGTTTAAGCTCTTGAAAAAAGCTGCTCGGTTTTTGCAGTGTTCAGTCGATAAATATTAACAGATCATACCGTATGATTTCGAAAAACAAGTCCATGTTATAATTTTGAAAGTTTTCGCTTCTGAAATTTTCAAATATAGTTATCTGAAGTATGCAGTTATCTGTAAGAAACTCAAAAGAACCCGATGCAAGCAGAATTGCGATGTGCTCCGTGACAGGTGAAACTGTCCCGAGTGGCCCCCCCATAGTCTCCAAATTTGTCAAGTTTTCATTTTGCGCGCGCAAGTGGCCTCAGACAACCATCGACACGGATGGGTTTGGGATATTTTTGGGGACACTTTTTTGGATTTTTTTGCCCGAAAAGCGTTTCTATCGATGCCTCTCGTCCAAAATAAGGTAAAAAACGTTGATTTACATATGCTGTCTCAGATAAAACTTCGTTTTTATTTAATTTCGGTGCGAAAAAAGGATTTTTGTCGATCGTTTTTGCCTCATTTTTGGGAGAATTTCGAGCGGAGTCTCCTCCCTTGTCACTATATATATACATGGAGGGGAAATTTTTTTAAACCCATTTATAATGCATTGTGACACTGAATAAAATAAAAGTAGACCATTTTTTTAAGTAAAATTTTATTTTTAACTATTATAGGTTCAAAGTCACTGCTTGGGCTCCCTGTGCCCAGAGCCGTCTGGCGAAGGCATGTAGGTATTCTGTCTGCGCATGCGCGCGAAAAAAAAAGGCGAATAAAAAGAGAATCTCATGGGATATGAGTTTTGTTCTTTTATCTGTAGACAAGAACCTACTTTTTTGACACATTTTTACGATGTATTACGAAATTGAATAGAATATTATTTACCTTTATTGGGTTGCAATAGTTCTCCCATGTAGAGCCATCAGTGCTGTATGAAATGCTGTACTGTATAACGAACTGTATTAATGACGGGTGTGTTGGAGTATATCGACCTTGTGTTGCTATTTTTGTTACTGTCTTAGTGGAACCCAGGTTTACTTGTAAAAACTCGCCAACTTTCCCAGGAACCTTGGAACACCAAGATACGTCGACTTGTAAACTGGGCTTCCTGTGAAGTCTACCGAAGTGAGGTAAACACTTAACGCTGTTATATGTGGAGGCGGTGATGTGACTATCTGGGATGCTCCCATCCTCCATACCAAGCGCTTTAGAATGTTGCTCTAAAAACAAATACTACTGTTTTTGAAAAAAATAAAAGAAACATAGAAAGCGCTTTGTGATTTGCTGAAGCGCAAAAAAACTGCCCGGAAATAAACGGTATACTGATTAAGCACGTGACATCTTTTAGAAAATCACTTTTATCTGAAAGGTAACACTCTGCCAAGCACTTCTGCGACGAAAGAAACATCGAGAAATAGATTTTGAATAATTTTTATTTCTGAGTTATAGACATTTCAAGATTGAAAATGCAAATGAAGTGACGTCAAAGTCCAGATTGTGTTATATATGTTGTTCTTGGTTGAGCGGTTCAAATCATCAATCTTAGTAATAATTGAGAGCTTAAAATGCTTTTTCCAATGTAACAAAAAGAATAACGTTCTCTTTCATGATTTTGAATAAATCATTCCTTAGTAGACGTCACTTCATTTGCATTTTCTAACTTTCAATTGACCATAACTTAGAAAATACAATTTATAATCAGTTTCTGTCTTCACTTCACTTCACTTTAGATAAATAGATAAATACATCTTCACAGATGAACTTAGCAGCATTTTCTCTTTTGGATGAGAGAATGTCTAATGGTTTCATGTGCACTTTAAGTTAACAGACTAAACTCACGTGAGTCCTCTGGTTTTGGACACGCACTGTTACTGGTTTCCCTGCTCGGTCCAGGCCCACAGTCCAGTGCTTGGCCTCCTGAGGTAGATTGGCAAGCACGAGTACGTAATGCATGCAAAGGACAAGTGCAGAATGACCAAGGCCCCCACTGACCCCAGACACCATCTGAATATAAATCATAACAGAACGTCACTGCCAATAATCCAATACTAGCCACAAAAACCAATCAGAGATTTCAGTTAGCAAGTGCAGCATTTTTAAATCCCGAAAAATCATTTGCAGACAATTCAAACCAAATTGCCCTGATCGCACATGCATAAATACGTTCAAGTATAAAGATCTAGATGGATAAGCAATGGCATCCACCAGCAATTTATGAGATTATAAGTTAATTAAGTGACTTTTAAAATCGTGTTATAAAAACTGAGTGCTTACCTCTACAGGTGTGGCTATTCCAAGCAAAGTCAGGATAGCAGAGCGGTTTAGCAAGGGGACAGGGTTTAGATGAACACCGATTCTGTAATACAAGACAACAAAGTATAATCTCAAGAGCACGTATCCTGACGAAATTCTCGTGGTTGCCATCGTCATGATTACCTTGATAGGGCAGTATTCATGTCCTTTCATGTCTTTAAGAGCATCAGGGAATGTCCAATGATCAGATGAACTCAGCTCGCA